TCAAATAGAAAGTAGAGTATACCTAACACCTACTCCATGATACAGCCAAATGTCCAAAAATAATCCTACAAAATTTAGAGCTTATAATGAACTCACAATCACTAACAACGAGACAAACAAAAACGAAAAAAATCATCATAAAAATTAGCCTTAAGAGAACCCGACGAATATATGTAGATAAACGTCACGTTTCATCGAAGCTAACTTGTTAATTTGTGTTTGGTTTTTTTATCTAATCTTTTTCTTAAAAAAATTTAGTTGTCAATTTTAAAATTTTAATTAATAAATTTTTGAGAAATAAAAAATATGCTGGAGAGATACTTCAAATCTTTCATTACATAATATATATGTAGTGTCCGTGTGTCATAATATATATGTAGTGTCCGTGTGTCACCAATTCTTGCTGGCACACGCTTGGCTTCAAGCATCGATTGATCTATTCTTCTATAACCCAAAATATTGTTTCAACAAAAATTTAAATTATTCAACTTACGTAGAAGCATAAAAAAATGTTTTAATGGATTTATAGTATAATACTTTTTACCATCTGAATACATGATTACTGTAAATTTAATCTACCGTTTTTTTTGTTAAATTGTCGAAAAAGTAGATAGATGTAACTAATATAGCTTTCTGAAAATGTTATAAACATTTAGAGTTATGTATTGTTTTTTTTGTCTGCTAAATTATAGTTATGTATTGTTCCAAAATGCTAAATTTCAAACCCCGTCTTATTATATATTAGGCATTGTCCACGCGTTGCGTAGATTTAAAAATAAATATTATATAATATGCAATAATCTCTAGCTTATTGACAAATTGTGTATTTAATATTACATAAATTTGATGTTTATAGTAAATAATTATCTAGATTAGAAGATTAAACACTTATAGCAAATTATTGGACATATACAATGTTATATGAAAAAAGAAATAGACCTTTCATAAAACTACAACATATAGAAGACATCTTCTTTGGCACAAGTCTATAACTTGTATGTCTTCATCAATATTCACTATGATTCCCTAAAAAATGATTTATTTTTTTTTTTTTGCATCAAACACATTTATAAAAAAAATAATTGATTAGAGAAGTTGTAATATAATTTTGATTTACCTTGACATGTGCATCATCTCAACAAAGATGTTGGAATGTATCTTTGTATTTATTTCAATGGAACTTTGAATCGTATTGAGAGAATAATTGATGCTTTATTGTATTTTTGTCTTATTCTCTTTATCGTTTTGCTATGATTTTTTTTATCTTTAACATCGATTCATTGGTGAAGTGATTCTGTTTTTCTAGATTCACAATTTGCGGTGGATTAAGGTTTTTTCAAAGTCTTGGATAGAAGTGTTATGTCCACTACAAATTGTATTAATTTTATTAAAGGGTAATTAGGAAATTGGCTAGAAGGTGTGAAAACTAAAAAAAGTTAATTACGAATAATTTCAATCAGACTTTAACAATCTTAAAAATCTTAAAATCATATCTTAATTTTTTCACAGCCTT